TTTTCGACAAAAATAAAGTTTTTTTAATGTGGTTTGTGCAGTTTAATAGCCTGTTTCTTCCGGATAAAGCTACTTGTTGTGAATTTTTTATAGGACCCCAGGGTTGTGATATACGGGGCGATAAAGTAGGTGATGTAAAAAATCAAAATGTTTGTGTTTGTGCCATTTCGGAAAAAAAAAAATTTAGTCATTACAATATGGTTTGTTACCAAGGTAACATCAATACCTCTAGACGTTTTTGTCACTTTTTGGATTTAAGCCCTTTGGCCTTGGATATACCATTAAACGTCAAAATATGGCAACAAAGTCTTCAAAATACCGTAATAGACCGTAGAAAGTACAACGATAGTATAACGTATGCCCTCTGAGGTTCTGGTAATTATGCATATGCTTGTAAACCGGCAAGAAAAATTAGTGGGTGACTGCAGAACTTGCACTGAAGAAGCTAATTGTTTATTGTTCAAAACAAAAACGAGCTTTAGAATGATAGTATAACGTATGCCGAGCATACCAATCGATATTTATGAATAAAAATCCATCCGAAAATGATCAGCATACGTGTAGGTACAGAGTGTTTCAAATTCGAGACACATCATTGAGATCTCGGAAACGGTGAAAGATACAGGCCTGGTTGAATCGGGGAAAAGTTGCGTAATTTGATGCTTAACAAAATGCCGCTTTGATATTAAGCATAATCCGAATACTTCCGGAGATATCCGGAAAAAAACCGAATTGCAAAATTCTTTTTTTTTTCCTGACTTTATTTGAAGTGATATTTCAATAAAAATATCACTTCATCATAGCCACTTTTTCTCCACTACAAGATGCTACCATCAAATTTAAAATCTGACGTTTCGTCCTTGAACCACCATTCTCATCTCTGTCTCTCTCTAACACATTTATTTCTCATGGTAAGTGCCAATAATATAAATTTTTCGAACAAGTGCAACACGCCATTGGTTTTGGGACATCAGAAGATTATAAAATCCAAAATAAAAAATAAGGGTCTTATTTAAAAAAATTAAGGTATTAAATTAATAAATTAATGACAATTTTTTTCAAAAATATCACTTCAAATAAAGTCAAGAAAAAATAAAAACAATTTTGCAAAATTTCTGTTTTTCCCGGATATCTCCGGAAGTATTCGGAATATCCTAAATATCAAAGCGGCATTTTGTTAAGCATTAAATTACGTAACTTTGGCCCAATTTAACCAACCCTGTATCTCTTACCGTTTCCGAGATCCCAATGACGTGGCTCGAATTTGAAACACCCTGTACGTGAGATCTGAGGATCAGATCATTAAAAAATGGGGAATTTCGAGTTTTGACCTTATTGAGGCCATACGCGAAGAGTGGAAGAATACTCCACAAGATTTTATAGGAAATCTTGTGGATACTCTTTCCCAATCGATGTCGGGAAGTAAAACTTCGAGCAGGAGGACCAAGGTATTAGGTCTTTTCAATTTTTTTTATATATTTTTTTTGAAATGGAACTTCCTCAGCGGCGGTCCGATATTTAGTCGAGAATGGAGAGTGATTTCCAAAACGTGTCACATGTAGGTCTATTTCGTTACACGAGAGAGAAAGAATATATAATTTCGAGAGAGGGAGAGCTATATCTAAAACACAGGCCTTCGTTGCAACACAAAGTAGAGAGGTAGAGAGCAGAAAAAAGAGAGCTATAGCTAATACACGCAGTTTCGGCTATACGCGTCTTCCTTTTATGCGGTCCTTTGTCTTTAACTCCCACTCGTTCGCTAAGTTCAAACTGTTCAAATTCTCAGTTGCTCGAAGGGGGAATAGTTTGGGAAGAATTGTACAAGCAAAAGAGGGCGATCCACGTATTCACTGAATACTAGACAATAGAAGAGAAAAGAGAGTGTGACGTGCATATGCGCGGTAGAACTCTGATGCCGCGAAAGTTGAGCGACGTATAGGTACACCAATACGAAGCGATAGAAGTTTTACTTTTACAGGTGTACGGCACTGCACATTTTTTTTAATAATTTATTGAGTGTCGTTTATTTTCAAATTAATTTAAATACCATTTGATTGCAGACTTTAAAAAATCTTCGTAAAATGAGGTTTCCAAATCTGAAAAAATCTCAAAGTTTGTGCGCCCGATATCGAGTTATAAACCATAGGCCAACAGCCAAAAAGTAACAAAACAGGTAGTTGTTTAGTTGGATGGATGCCATTTTAGAATATGGATCGTTTTACCACCGCAAACGGAAACACAAGTCACACATCACGAGATAATCGGGCTTTGTTAAAAGAAAAGTTTCCAGGACGAGTAATTTTGAGATTGGCTGATTTGAATTGACCAACACGGTCCTGTGATCTAACACCGTTGGACTTCTTCTTGTGAGGATATGCGAATTTTCTCTCCCTAGGTTAATAATGAAAATAATGAAAAAATACCTAGGTCAATAATGAAAATGACGTCATGACGCAAGGATATTGTCATAACAGGTTTCTATTGGTTTAATTTCAATTTCAAACTGTCAATTTAGAAAAAGCAGGTTCCTGTATATACATTATAAGAAATTACCGTAAGCTGTTGATAGACAGCAGCACTTCCGACAAGAGAAAATAATTTGAGCACAGGTTTCAAACCTATTTTTTATTTTCTACTAACAGTAGTAAAAAAATTCTATATATCCCTCGGTAGAGAAAGTCATTATACAGGGTGTCCCACGGTGGATGGCGTATTAGACGTTTATGGAGAACTAAAAAGCGAATCATTTTGAAAATTTGGCAACCGGGATAAACGACCATGATCTACACTCTACACTTTAAAAATATTTTTGACCATGCGGTGTTGCCGCTTCTACTCTAAACTAGTGGCAACATCACTATTTTAAATGGAACACCCCGTATTTAATTGCATATTTAGATTCTACGTAAAATTCTGAGCAGATTTCATGTGATATACCCTATACCTAAGTTCAACTGTTTTGGAAATATTGACAGTTGAAAATTGACTTTTTGCAACTTTGACAGGCTGTAGAACCTGAACGGTTAATTTTAGAGGAAAACCGATTTTACATTCCTGTCTTAGATTTTTATAAACTATCATTTGACACCAAACAAATCGGTTTTCCTCTAAAATTAACCGTTCAGGTTCTACAGCCTGTCAAAGTTGCAAAAAGTCAATTTTCAACTGTCAATATTTCCAAAACAGTTGAACTTAGGTATAGGGTATATCACATGAAATCTGCTTAGAATTTTACGTAGAATCCAAATATGCAATTTAATACGGGGTGTTCCATTTAAAATAGTGATGTTGCCACTAGTTTAGAGTAGAAGCGGCAACACCGCATGGTCAAAAATATTTTTAAAGTGTAGATCATGGTCGTTTATCCCGGTTGCCAAATTTTCAAAATGATTCGCTTTTTAGTTCTCCATAAACGTCTAGTACGCCATCCACCGTGGGACACCCTGTATACCCCCGGCGCGTACTCTCAATCTTTAATGTCTTTTTTTTTCAATTTATTTTATCAAGCTGAACTTGGATAACCCTATTTAACGAATGCCGAGCATACCTGTCCATATTTATGGAATAAAATCCATTAAAACGATCGTCATACGGTGTAAGTGAGATCTAAAGGTCTTCGTTAGCCCTCAAAATTCCCCATTTTTGAATGATAGGGCCGATCCATAGCTCTGACGTGCACCGTATGCCGATCGTTTTAGGATGGATTTTTATTCAGAAATATCGATTGGTGCAATTGGACAATAAACAATTAACTTCTTCAGCGCAAGTCCTAAAGTCACCCGCTAAATTTTCTTGCAGGTTGACGAGCATATGCTTACCAGAAACTCAGAGGGCATACGTTATACTATCGTTGCACTTTTTGGCAGTGAGCTTAAGGTCTATCACGGTATTGTGAAGATGTTGTTGCTATATTTTGACGTTTAATGGTATATCCAAGGCCAAAAGACTTGAATCCTAAAAGTGACAAAAAGGTCTAGAGGTATTGAAGTTACCTTGGTAACAAACCATATTGTAATGACTACAATTTTTTTTTTCCGAAATGGCACAAACGCAAACATTTTGATTTTTTACATTACCTACTTTATCGCCTCGTATATCACAACCCTGGGGTTCTATAAAAAATTTACAACAAGTAGCTTTATCCGGAAGAAACAGGCTATTAAACTGCACAAACCACATTAAAAAAACTTCATTCTTGTCGAAAATATGAAACTTTGAATTTTGCCTAAAAATCTGTATTTGTAAGTTCAAGTGTCCAGCAATTTATTTCTACTTATTTAACAATTTTTTCTCAATTTTTTTCAAATTTCCCTTGAAAATTTCTTCTCTCAATCCCTCAGTTATCTTATGACAATATTTGTCTATTCCCAGGTCTTGAATATTAGCATCTCCTTTTAATTTTTCCTAAATGAAGAAAACTCAAGAGCCTGGGAATAGGCAAAATATGTTGCTACTAATCTAAGTGAGCGCTTTTACAATTTTCTAACAGCAATTTCCAAAAAAACCTAGACTGTTAATACTAATAATTTTCCCTAAAATACAAACTCAAACACATTCCTTTAATTAAACTTGCCTACCCTTATAATATGGTCCACATAATATTTATTTTCCTTAGCGTTTATGTTAGAAAATTACTCTATAGGCAGCTTCAAATTGATTTATAGAAGAATCTGCACAGAAAAATATAATTCCAGAAGGAAAATTATAGTAGGTACCTGGTACTAGTACCGCTTATGTATGGGTTATTTTTGATTAACCTATGTTATAAAATAAAACAAATTCACTAAGTGGAGAAACAGTCCCAGCTCCCAGTAGCACATCCTTCAAAAATAGACTAGATAACGATTCCAGCACCTCCATCGGTTCTACCGTTTGCTATTGCTTAAATAATAATAATAATTATCCTTTTCAGGCAAAAAATCCTGGTCCCATTGCACATTGCACAGTATAACATCAATATCTATCAAAGTAAAATTCAATTAGTTTTTTTTTTCTTTCAGTCAATAGATTTAAGTCCTGGAGATCTTCTATATTACGGTGGAGTCGAATGGCTAAATATATCAGATTTCCTTGGAAAAATCAAAAAAGGACTCGAACTACACGCTATGTGCTTCGTATTCAAGACTGCTGTGGTATTTTTGTGTAAGGAACGATTGCGTCAGAAAAAGAAAATCATGGTAAGAAACATATATTTTAAACTCAATCCTTGTTACTTAAATTTCTTATATAGGGTGTTACATCAAGCAAAGCCGCCTCGTCCGAAGTAGAAATCATCCGGTACCAAGTCCTAATTCCAGTAACTGAAGTGCAAGTCCGTGCCTCGTCAGCTAAAGACATGGATTCGCATTTCTTGTGGGAATTAATACATTTGAGAAGTCAATTACAAAGACGATCAGAGAAAATTTATGTGCTTTCCAACAGGTATATAAATCTAATCTAAGATTTTTCCATAGAATTCTAAGGTGTTGAAGTTACACTAAGTTTCTTATCATTATTTTTTCAGTACCGGTGAGTTTAGAAACGCGTTTCTGAAAACAATACGGCAAATAATCAGAGAGTCGGTCAGAAACATGTCGATACCAGCTACTAAACCCGGTACCGGACCTGGAATGCTACTAGTCACTGGACACAAAGGCGACCATCATCATGTCAACAGTCATAGTCACACTCTCGAAAGACCAAAACAACACGTGATAATCCAAGCAGGGTCCCACACTTTGGGCAAACCGAAAAAGCCGAAATCTCAAAGACATTCCGCGGGCAACATTGACTACAGCAATGCTGACCAGGAATGCGAGGACATGTCTGCAAATTTTCGGAACAGGAGTAAAACTATTGGAGATACTGCTGGTAAGCGAAATTACTGTCAGATATGTTATTCATAATTAAATTTTTCATTTAAGATGCAATCCATGAAAGAATGAACCATGATCGAAACGATACGGGGATTAAATCGGAAGGTGAAGAAGATTCACAATGTGGAAATTCCAAACCTAAAGCTACACTAGGTAGGACACCCAATCATCTTACTTTAAGGTAAGAATTTTTATTAGTTATTTTCAAAAATTAGACTAATCATTCAATCTTCAATACTGTTGTAAAGATTCGAAAAATTCTCCTTTTAATAGTCTTTGTAGAAAAAAACAATGTTTTAGCACCACATCGACATTATCAGCAGGAAGTACCGGAAGCCAAGCGCGTCTGATCCAATCTTCACATCCACCGGAAAAGTTTCAGCCAGTACAACTAGAAGAATTAGGTGCCTATCAGATATTCTTTTAACGTTTCCGATAATAATTTGATAGATTCGTTAAACTTTTAGGTTCCCCCATTTGGAAACCGAGAGATGAAACTGCAGATCACGGTTCTTCCACTCTATCGAGGAAGGGACGCTCGGACCATCACGTTCTGAGCGCCTCGCGAAAATCAATCATAACTGCAGCGGAAATGGATGCACAAGATCAGCAATAGAAAGGGCCGATTATAATATATTTCTTTTTATATTAAAAAAATTAAATTATCTTGTTAACATGTCACAAAAGAACTTATAAACGTATTTTATAATTGGATTTTTTATTTCCTGGATATCACTCAGCTTCTACAGAGATGTATGCACCAATAGAAAGGACCGATCTTTATTTCTAAACTTACATCAACCTTTAAAAATGCGTTTTTCTAAGGTAATCAATGGAGATTCAAACATCAATGTCCATATAAGCGAGAGAAGAATCGTAATCACATAACTAAAGATGCCATCTATAAGCTTAAAATGCAATATTTGATAATAAATATGACCCTTAAAAAGCTTATACTTACAGCATTCAGTTCGCTTAATACCATCGGCACTCGCATAACCATTTTTAAATAGCCAAGTACCAGAATATGTGAAACGTACATGCAAAAAGTCAACTTACTCAAAACTTGAAACAAAGGAATCGTTAAAATTCTATTGATTAACCCTAGAAAGATATTTTATGAATTAAAATAAATTTAATCTCAGTTGTTCCACAAACCTCCATAACCATTGTGGCAAGCATAAACTATCCAACCAAGCCCCAAACACCAAAAAAGTCTGATGAAAATGAAATAAGTCTGGTACATTCGATCGTTTTCATAAATCATTATTATTTCAAGTAATTGATAAGCTGATTGCATTAGAATCATAACTACTAGAACCATAATCCAGATGACAATGTTGTTGCTCTAAAAATTTTAAATAAATATTCCAAATTATAATTATACAGGGTGGGGCACGAAAAACTTCCCAACCAGGATTTCTCAGGTCTTAGGTGATTAATAAAAAATCGCTCAGACACGTAATTTTTTGTTTTTGGGGGGACATCTTTTATTGGTATTTTCACCCCTTACCTGTCAACCCTTAAGCGGAGGTGACAGGTACCCCCAAAATTTCAATAGGAAAGGGGGGTCAAGTGATACGCCATTTGATAGTTATTTTTATTAAGATTATATTCCCAAAGTTTCAAGTTGCTACTATTTACCCTGTCGAAATAACGGCTCATCAAAGTTGTGTGTTTTTTACCTCATAATAACATAACAGATTTAAGAGAGCCGCGCAAAAGAAAAGAATGTTCGAAAACTGTCAAAAAGAAGTTTTACTAGCAACAGCAGTGGTTACGAGTTACTCAGCAACAGGCGTGCCTCAGTTACTGAGAGTCCTAATCGATCAAGGATCGCAGTCCTTCTTCATAACCGAAGAAGCCGCTCAACTACTAGCCTGCCCTAGGCAAAAGATAAGAGCTGAAATATCAGGACTAGGAAACAAAGATCCCACTATCTCAAAATGTAGAATAGATGTTCAACTGAAGCCAAGATTTCCAAGTCAATATTCCCTAGATGTGCAACTTTTCGTGCTCCCGAGAATAAAAAAGGCACTACCAGCATATGCTACCAGCCCAGTCACTGCCAGAACCTGACAGTAACCTACAGTAACGATTGGAAAAACGAAATGTTAGCAGATCCGACTTTCAACAAGCCAGGGCCGATAGACATACTTCTCGGGGCCGAAGAGTACGGAAAAATATTACTGGAAGGCCTTAAGAAAAACATCAATGGACTGATAGGACAGAATACAGAATTTGGATGGATGCTATCAGGACAAATGATAGTAAGCAAATCAGCAAACTTGAAAGTAGCTAGTATGGTAACTCGCATTAAAAAAGACGAGCAGCTAGCAAAGTTTTGGGAAATCGAAGAAGTGGCTATCGATCAACATTTCAGACCAGAAGATCAAGCATGTGAGAAATTTTATGCTGAAACTACGACAAGAAACATGGACGGATCATACACTGTCAAAATACCGTTCAAAGAATCAACTCCAGAGTTAGGCCAATCAAAACCAAGAGCTGTGGCAAGGCTACAACAGCTCGAGAAAAAATTCGCCAAGGTTAAAGACCTGCATCAACAATATGTATCCTTCATGGAAGAATATTTGAAACTTGGCCACATGCGAAAAGTACCATACCACGGACTAAGTCAAGGCAAATATTATATACCGCATCAAGCCGTAATTCGAGAAGAGAGCACGTCGTCTAGACTACGGGTAGTGTATGACGCATCAAGCAAAAGAAACACAAACGTGAGCTTGAATGATACGATGTTCGTCGGCCCTCGCGCAAATAATTCTAAGGTGGCGCATCGAATTGCATTTTCTGCCGACGTTGAAAAAATGTACCGGCAAATTAAATTAGACAAAGATGGCCTGCCATACCAGAGAATAGTATGGCGCTTTAAGCCATCACAACCAATCCAAGAATATGAGCTAACCACTGTAACGTATGGAACCGCTTCGGCACCATTCCTAGCCATTAGGACTCTTCAGCAATTAGCCAAAGACGAAGAAGAAAACTACAAAAAAGCATCACAAGTCGCCTTGAGAGACTTTTATGTAGATGATGTACTCGGGAGCAAATAATTTAGAGGAAGCACAAGAACTCCAAAAATCATTAGTTGGCCTGCTGCGAGCAGGTGGCTTCTCTCTAAGGAAGTGGTCTAGCAACTCAGCTGCACTCGTGGAACAAGTTCCAGAAAACTTAAGGGAGAAATCAAACTTGCTATTGGGAGAAGAAACAAAAAAATCATTGGGAATCCTTTGGGCCCCATCAGAGGATGTGTTCATATTCAGAGCAAAAATCGACAATACGTCAGAAGTAACTAAAAGGCACATTCTCTCCGAAATTGCAAAAATCTTTAATCCACTTGGATGGCTAGCCCCATTTTCCATCAAAGTCAAAATGATGCTACAAGATCTTTAGCTGCAATAACTTGCGTGGGATGAAAGAATCAGCGTTGAGACGTTGGAACGCTGGTCGCAATTCAAAGAAGACCTCAAAAACATAAATGAGATAAAAATCCCGAGGTGGTCATACTTCAATGGAGCACAAATGAAGCTTCTAGGATTCTGCGACGCCTCAGAGAAAGCATATGGAGACGTAATTTACAGCAGAACCATGATGTCGGGAAAACCGTACATAACGTTGCTACAGGCAAAATCTAAAGTAGCTCCTGCAAGGAACAAGACTACCCTGCCAAGATTGGAGCCGTAACGATTCTTGCCTGGACAGACTCCATGATAACCATCGGATGGATAAGAGGAGACCCACTTCGATGGAAAACATTTGTGGCTAACAGAGTTTGTGAAATACGCAGGTCAATACCGTCCGAATGCTGGAACCAAGTGAAATCAGCCGACAATCCGGCAGATGTCATATCACGTGGAACCGAATTAAAAATCCTGAAAAATCTATCCATATGGTGGAATGGTCCAGCTTGGATAAAGGATAAAAATCAGTGGCCAAAGACAGACATTGTACTAGAAATTCAACAAGAAGTAAAACAATGTCACCATGCCAATGTTAATATACTTAAAGAAGAATGGACCCGATTCTCGAACCTGTCACGAATGATGAGAGTACTCTCCTTTTGCCGAAGGTTTATAAAAGGATCTCCAAAGGAAAACAATTAAGTGCCTGAAGAAATGTCCACGACCCTACAGACGATAATCCGATGTGTTCAGAAACAAAAACTATCATCCGAATATCAAGCACTATAGCAGAAAAAAAGGGATTGAATAACAAAAGTAAGATACTAAATCTAAATCCGTTTCTGGATCAAAATGGCTTGATACGAGTTGGTGGAAGACTTGAGAATTCAACAGTGCCGTTCAATCAAAAGCATCCAATAATAATTCGGAGACACACGCATTTGACAGAGCTACTGATAAAAAACGCACATGAAAGAACATTACATGGAGGAAATCAGATAACAATAGCTTATTTGAGACGAAAATATTGGATCATCAATGGAAAAAAGGCGACAAAATCAGTAATCAATCAGTGCGTTAGGTGCGTTCATTACAAAAAAGAAACCGCACAGCAACAAATGGGAGAGCTTCCAACTCTAAGAGTGACATCTTCACCTCCGTTTAGCCACACTGGAATCGACTACGCAGACCCTATTCAGATTCGGTCATCTAAAGGCAGAGGACACAAATCGTACAAGGGCTACATAGCAGTCTTTGTATGCCTTGCCACAAAAGCAATACACCTTGAAGTGGTAAGTGATATGTCTTCGGAAACGTTCTTGGCAGCGTTTCGACGATTCACCGCTCGAAGAGAACGATGCTCACACATATACAGCTACAATGGGACAACATTCGTCGGCGCTGCCCGACAGTTAGAAAGTGAAGTCAAGGAAGTGATAGAAAAATCACAAGTCATGGACGTAAGCAGGGACACAATGGCACTTCATCCCTCCAACAGCACCTCACTTCGGAGGAATATGGGAGGCGGGTGTAAAATCAATGAAACATCATCTGAAACGAGTGATTGGCGAAACCACTCTGACTTATGAAGAATTAACAACGCTCATGCATGAGATCGAAGCCTGCCTAAATTCGAGACCCATGCCCACTTGGTGATGACGTCGATGATTCGATGGTACTCACTCCCGGACACTTTCTAAGACCGATAATATCACCACCAGACCCGATAAGCACGGAAATTAATCCTAGCCATTCCCATAGATGGAAGTTGGTGCAAAAATGAAGAGAGACTTCTGGAAGGCTTGGTCAACAGAGTACCTGAGCAGACTACAGGTACAAGTGGAACACGGTACAGGATAATCTGAAAGTCGGAACAATCGTCATCATAAAAGAAGACTTCATAAATCCAGCCCAATGGCCGCTAGGAAGAAAAATAGAAGTTCATCCTGGCAAAGATGACCTAATCCGAGTTGTCACATTGAGAAAAGGCAACACAACAATAAAACGGGCCATAACCAGCTTGATTCCATTACCAGAAGAAAAAACAAACGAACCAACACAGGCAATACCAGAAGCCAATGAAAAAGCCGTAAGAGAAAATAACGGTATAAATAGAAGCACGACCAAAGTTTGTCAATTCCTCCTACTAGCAATGTTCATCATATGGACACCGACCAGTGAAGCAAACTACACGATTCATCATCCGCAAAAAGGCATATATGTGGAGCATATAGGAGTAGCAAGGATAAACAGAGGGATGTTCCGACTACAAATAAATATAGACAAGAAATGAATCAACAAAGATGTAGAAAATGCTTCAAGAATCATCGAAGAATTCCAGCAGCTGTGCAAAAAGACAAAGGTCCTATCCCAGGAGACCCAGTGCGAACTATTGTCCAAGCACTTAAGTAGTACAGCAACAGGGGTATGACTACAAAAATCCGAACATAACCTCAATCTTTCATTCTTGACACGTGGTGGATGCGCCGCCGTTGACACGAAGGTGGATGCATCGTCGGCGCCATCTTGTCAAACGTCATGGCGCCATCTAGCGTACATAGTGTGAAGCTCGTAATACAGGATGCTGTAGTTGGGACCCGTAGGGCTCCGCCCCCCAAAAGGGGGCCCACAGGGCTGCGCCCCCCGAAAAGGGGCTCCCCGGATTTTATCATGGGTGCCAGAAAAAGGGGTGGGGGGAAACGTTTTCCCGCCATCTTGTCAACCGTCATCTGTCAAACGTCATCTGTCAAACGTCACCTGTCAAACGTCACCTGTCAAACATCACCTGTCAAACGTCACCTGTCAAACGTCACCTGTCAAACGTCATCTGTCACCTATGATGACGTCATACCGGGTTATTGAGGTGAATTCTTGCAATTACAGGTTCCTGTAATATGGAGTTTGCGTGGAAGGGATTGTTCCGAGTCGTTTCGAAATCGCTACGTATATTAAATTATGGTTCTGTGATGACGTCATAGCGACCTGGGTCACGTCCGTGGAGTCATTTAGAGTACATAGTGCAAAGTTTGATTCAGGGTTCGGGTTCTGTGATGACGTCATAGCGACCTGGGTCACGTCCGTGGAGTCATTTAGAGTACATAGTGCAAAGTTTGATTCAGGGTTCGCGTTCTGTGATGACGTCATAGCGACCTGGGTCACGTCCGTGGCGCCATTTAGAGTACATAGTGCAAAGTTCGGGTTCTGTGATGACGTCATAGCGACCTGGGTCACGTCCGTGGCACCATCTAGCGTACATGTGTCAAGTTCGATGTGTCTTATAACAGGATGCTGTGGTGGTGACGTAACTATGAGGGTCCAGCAGCTAGCTTCATGTTGTACCTGGTAGAGGGTGTTCGAGCTCAAGGATGATACACACCTACAGGATTGCTTATTGACCTCGTGTGTTACCATTTACGACGCCATAACTAAGCCATCAGCTGTTTAAACAACCTACGTCAAGGCGAGAAATAACATGCTGCTTACGTCACAACTGGTGATTTAACGTTGGGGAGAGAGTGGATTTGTTCCACACAGGCCTTATGAGGATAGGCTATCCTGTAGTAGTAGTGTGTATTATCCTTGGTTGGAACCAACATTTGATGGGGAAGGGGCCTCGTTTTTTTTTTTTTATTAAAAACATACATTTTTTAAGACAACGATTTCAAAAAGCGAATATTTTCCATCAATAAACTGCTTAATGATCCAATCATTTTGGTGGTACGTCTTGGGAGAAACACTGCGTTGTCGTCAAATTCAACGAGTATTTCAAATCCATAGCTAAAAATATGCCACAATTGTATCGATTACCTAAGTATATAAGATATTTACTTACTAGGTTAAAATAATAATTGTTGCTCAATAATTTTATAATCCTCACTGTGACGAGAAAGAATACAACACTGTGGGCACCCCTTTTAATTCGAACTTCGCTTGACATCTGTTGATCTACCTTAATTTGTATAGTTTACTGGTTCCAGTAAAGATTTGCAATTATTTTGAGGTCTGTATCGTAGAAAATATTGGGTACACTCACTTTCTACGAGGACTTATAATTTTCTCAGCGTTTTTGATCCTTTGTTATAAAAAGACAGGTCTTGTTGATTGATTTCAAATCCATATCTAAAATATTCATAATTGTATCGATATTAGTAGGTATATAAGATATTCACTTACTTGGTTAAAATGATAATTGTTGTGCAATAATTTTATAGTTCACCGAGTTTCAAACAAGACTAAAAGAGCTTAGTTATTATAAAATCCGATTTAAACTTTGAAGTAATCACATACAAAAAACGCTGCCAAAATATTGGGAATTTCACTTTCTATGAGGCTTCAGGTCTTGTAATTTTCTCAGTGTTTTTAATCCTTTGCTATAAAAAACAGGTCTTGTTGTTGATTGATATTAGTATATAAGATATTTACTTACTTGGTTAAAATGATAATTGTTGTGCAATAATTTTATATTTTTCACTGGTGACGAGTTTGAGCAAACTGAAAGAAGCTTGTTATTATAAAATCCGATTTAAACTTTGATATCACATACAAAAGCACCGTCAAATGTAAACGCTTATTCGGCAGTTTTTTTATCTGAATTATATCAGGACCGTTCGCAGAAATCGCCCGAGAAAAACAACAACACATTTTAAAGATAATTTTTTAGTTTAAGGCGTAATTATTAAGTTAGATATTTGATATGTCCATTTTTATTTTAAAAAAGGTGACAAATTCAATCGATTTATCAAAATTTAAAAGAATAGATTTAAATTAGCATCGTTGACATTTTATGAGCCAATAACCCTATGCAATACAAAATTTAAGTGGATACATTGTTACCTGTAAAAGATGAGGATTCAATTTTTATTCTTTGTACAAAAAACGCAGCATCCAGTACCAGTACTTTGAACCTGGATTTTCAAAGTTTAGTTTCTTGTGCGATAAGTGTCGGTTTCGAAAAACTGTAAGTACTATTTTTTAATATCTAAGTGATGTAGGATAAATCATGCCCTGAGACATATTTTAAATTAACACAAACCTCGATTATTGAATTATTTTTATTTTCCTTAACACATAAACATATTGTTTGTTTTTTAAAAATACAGACAACCCTGAGTACCTATTTTTTAATTTAATTCCAATAGTTTTTTTCGGAGCAACTTGAATTTACTTTTACACTTACATTTGCACAAAACTCAAATTTCTTTTTCTAAAATTTAGGTAGGTTCTTTAACCAATTTAAACTGGTTTTATTTTTTCATTTATTTTAAAACAAACCTCCATAAACAGCGAATTTTTAATTTTATGTACAAAATCGTTCACCAGGAAGGAGATAACCTGAAACGTCATGGGATTGCTAATCATCTTCCAAGATCTGTAACCAGTGTGGTGGGATTTTTAAAGCAGAGGGGGCTATCCAACACCATCAAAACACCCAGCTCCAAGAGAGCCTCCAAACGAAAGGCTGGAGATCCCACCGCCCCCATGATGAAGCAAGCTAGACTTTTGCTGGTAAGTTGACATTAATCGCATTTTTTAAATCTAATTTAATTATTTTCAGGACCTTCAATATCAGCCACATGCCGGTGGTGTGAGGATTGCGACTTGGAGGCACCGATAAATCAATGGGTTGGTCATCTTCGGTGTCTCTAGCACCGAGCCAACACCTGGTGAAGCAGGAGGAAGACGTTAGTCTTGTCAAAACATCTTTCAAGAACCGAATTGAAACATAGCGGCTTTCATCAAAGCAGGACCCTATCAGCGTGAAGCACGTTTTGAAATTAGCTGTGGCATACCTATCCAGTATTAGGACGGACGGAGGACACAATTACCAGGATAGCAGAAAATGCGTATGCGAAAAAAATAATTTAGAGCAAACAGTTGAATAGCGCAAGGATATGAGAAAACTAACTTCGCACATTCTTGAGCAACCGACCCACCGAATTCAGCAAACATGCGTACACGTACACGAGAAGAAGGGGTTTTAGAACTGGTTTTTCCTTTAACAAATCACGGTAACTATGGAATAACATAATAGAGGACTAAAATATGACACAAGTAGCCTATAAGGGGCCCCAATAGCCTCAGTAAAGTGCTAGAAAGATACCGGTTGCCACTACCACCCCCTGCTCAGAAAAAAAAAAAAAATTGGTCATTTGGGTTTTCAGGCATCCTGAACAAAAAGTTCACAGAATTCCAGGAAAAAGAAAGCGGTGTGTATCATTTCAATTGCAGTGTTATATACTAAACAATATCTCTTACAGGCTGGACGCTCCAACAACTTTAAGCTCTAAATATAAGTATCAATAGGATCATAACCCTCTAAAAGCCTATTCATATCTGCCAGTACCAGGATAACCTGTAACGTCATGGGAGTTGCCGCACATCTGCAATCAATGTGGTGGAATTTTCAAATCATTTCATCCACAAATAACATGGGTTGAGGAAAAAAGTATGCGGAAATTTGGGATCTGTTTCTATTTAAATACTCAATATCTATTGAAAAAAAAAAAAAATATTCAAGGGTGACGATAAAGACGTATTTCATTTTTATGATTATGAATATTGATACAATTTAGATGGTAGTCGCACTCACAGTCCTATTAACCATATTGGCAATGATTGTTGAGAATAAAAATAAGCTTTAGTATAAACTATGTTTTATTCTCCTGAGAATGACAGAGATGAAGCCACCATTGATCTCTGTATACCATCAACCCACAGTCAAATAGCGCCAGCACACACTTAACATAATATCATACAACTTTTATTTATGTTCCAAAATTGTATCAAGATTATTTCCATTTCAATAATTTTTGAAAAGAAACTTCTTAAGCGGCTTTCTGCTATTTGGACGACAATGGAGAGTGATTTGAAAAACGCGTCACGGGCAAATTTCGTTACTCGAGAGAGAAGAAAGATGTAACGTAAAGGAACAGAGAAAGACAGCTATTGATTGACACAAACCAAGGATTATAAGCGTCGAGAGGAGTGTCCATTATTGACAAGCGCCGATATTGACACAAACCAAGGATTATAAGCGTAAGGAGGATTGCCTATTATTGACAAGCGGTATTGGAAACATAAAATCATTTCTGGCGAATTTCGAGGTTTTCCTGATATCTCTGGACAGCACTCGGAATTTTTGAAATATCAAAGCAGCATAATAATGAGCACAAAGTTGCACTATACTTTCTTCTGATTCAACCGACGTCGGGTCTCTTTCCGTAGGATTCCAATACAGGATTCGAATAGGATTCAAAATAGCTAGTATTCGAATGCTACCCAAGTCTCCCAAAGTACCAAGTGTTATCACAGGAGTCTATTCGAAACATGCCGCATTAGTAATAATTATCAAACTTCAAACTTGTATAACAGGAGACTTTCTCATTGAAATGAAGCATTACGTTGATAGACTTGATACTGTTTACAATGCCAATCCCCATTAAGTATACATGCCCCAGATGTAAGGGTGAAACTGATATACCCAATCGACTTTGTTTGCCTTGCGAGTTTTCACAATTTGTTGAACAAAAAAGGATACCATCCCATTATTTTGCACAACTCGAACGTAGAACCTAAATTATGAAGTTGTACTAGTAAATTTTCTATTAAATAAAACTTTTGTTATTATATTTTTATGCTTTTTATTTATGGCCTCTAGACTAGGTTAGGCTATAATAATTTAAACAAAATTCAACGAGAGCATTGTGCACAACATTAGGATAGGCCATCGAATACTATATTGTTAAGCTTTTTTAAGTCGACACTTTCCGTATGGGGAGCAAAAGAAGGAAGGATACGGTAAAAACAGGTGTGAGATCAGGTGACCATTGACGTACAATCGTAGGGAGTCACACCAACTCATATTGGAGTATCAGCTAGGGGATTCTTATCTTGTCACAAGTCGCTATGGCTGGCTAGCTGTCATTCGATACCTATTTCGATATCGGATGGAGAGTGATTCATATGTATTATTGTCGAATTTCGTATCGACATCAAATAGACGGTGGTATGAAAAACGAGAGAAAAATCGACCTTCAAATTTGAATGATAGATGATAGATTATGTTTATTATTTTATAATTTATTTTTCGCTTCAATTCAAACTATTTTTACTTCTAAAGATTCCTTTCGCGTTGAAAATAATTTCAATTTTTAATTATTATGTTGCAACGAAATCTTAAGGCAGCACCGTCAACAGCAAAACCTTCACTTTAGACGCACGACTCGTAGGGTAGGAGAAACTTGATTTACATTTTTCTTCTCGTCTCTCAACTCCACACTCCCGTATTCCTTATGTGAGAATGACCGCGTTCACCAGCACTCAACATGTTGAGTGATTAGTCAGCGGCTTTGTTGAAAAAGATGAAATATAACGAAGGATTACATACACAAACGACAAACATAAAACATAAACACAACACATGACACCACAACTTGTCACTTCAAAATAAAAAAGGATAGCCAATCATTCGAACAAAGATCAGTAAATCGAAAAGCCGAAACGGGACCTCTTACTTACGTCAGAGAGTCGATCCGAACTAGCATAAGAATCAGCAATTCGACATCGAATTGGTCTTAAGAATTCCGCAGGATTATAAATGATGGACTGAATACGCATGCAATTTAATTCATTTTACCTACTCATCAATAACTGATAGACTGTGCCTGACTCATCCATATAATATTATAGGTCCTGCAAAATATTAATGAAACCGAACAAACACACTGCATACATAAAACGTCCATTTTATGTCATATTCACGTTCATACGTCCATATGACCTATTCACTGATCTCGAAAATAAATGGATAAACAAAGAACGCTACTAATGCTGCTAATTCACGAGGTCAAAATCTAAACAAAAACAACTCACTGGGACAGCTATGAGCATGCGCAGTAGATACATGTATTGTGCGTACACAAAATCTGGCCAATGAAAATGAAGGAATTTCGAAACTTAGAACAGTTGTTCGAAAGATACGACACTGCGCAGGCGTAAAGCTGTTCCGTTGCACAACTGTTCGTAGAATATTGATCCCAAACTTTCGCACAAATTATGCAAATCAAGCCGTATGAATTGTTTATCCATTTATTTTTTAGATCAGTAGACCTATTCAGAACGTACATAAGACGTACATTTTAGTAAAAACATTCATATTACGTAGATTTACATCCACCATTTTGGTTTTATGTTAAAGTGTAAAATACAAACAGGTCACTGTTTATTCATTTAATTCCTCGTGTCTAAGTTTAACTTTGTTTGAATCTCTGTTAATCCTAGTAATTCAAATCATTGGCTTAGAAAATCGTGTGTTTAATTTAGTGGCAGGCAGACGTAATAATTAAAAATTGATAAAAAAATTTCTTGCCTCGACTGGAATTTAAACCCAGGACCCCTGAATTTCCAGTGCAACGCTCTAACCAACTAAGCTACCAGGAGCTGTTTCATTTCTACCTTTTCGAATGTCGATCAAATCTGGAACGCAAAATAAATGGAAAATAGTATAGAAGTACTAACCACACAGCGTTTTTATGCCTAGGGAGTTTATCGATACCGTGGGAAAAATCTAGATCGACGATGTATTTGATCTGAAATTTCGGGGTTTGACCCGAACCAAACCCAAATTTTTGGGGAGTTTCCCGGAATTCGACCGCAGCTCCTTATCTCATGCTATCATCTTCAAAACACAGTTATCGTCCCGCCATCGTGCGTCATCTTTGTCGTCGTCTCGTCATCGATCGATTGCAAAAATTCTAGCCGGGGAATCGAGTCCTCAGACCATCACACCAAAATCCAGCACTGTAGACAAGGCACTAGATCCTTGAGTAATTATTGATAAAAAATGTTTGTAAGTAAAGTCTATACCAAGTCACTTGGACTAGCATAAAAACTAACTAAATCCCGGCATCCATCAGCTTTTTCTTTGTCAAACATGGACGGCGTAATTTCAAAAAACAGTACTAAAATTAATAATCAATAGACAGTATGTCAATCAATCATGATCGGCAATGGTCAATCAGATCTATTGAGTCCACGTTTACTGGTATCGAACGTGTACATGGAGGATGAAGCCAATCAGATAATATACCTATCCATTCTTACTTGTCTGGCTTCCAACGGGTACGAGGATCAATCAGTATAAATTTTACTATATTTTTCAATATGTGATGCAGTATATTGACCATACGTTTATTTTAAGCTTGGTCCAAGTAACTTCGTATAGACTATAAAACGTTCTAACTATACAGGTCCAGAGACAATTATAATTGTGTAGACAGCTATACAGGTCCACAGACAGGTCCGATACAGCTTTTCGAGACAGATCTGTCTACACAGACTGCTTTTCGAGACAGCTTTTCGAGACAGATCTGTCTACATAGACTGCTTTTCGAGACAGGTCTGTCTACACAGACAGCTTTTCGAGACAGGTCTGTCTACACAGGCAGCTTTTCGAGACAGGTCTGTCTGCACAGATAGCTTTTCGAGACAGGTTAGTAGTAACGGGGGCACCTGAGCCTGAGAAATTTTTCGATACCGTGGAAAAATCTCTAAATCGACGGCGCCTTTGATCTGAAACAGCTATACAGGTCTAGAGATAGGGTTGTATACACCTATACAGGGCTAGAGACAGGCCTGTATACAGCAATGGTAAGCAAGGGTTAGTTTGGGTTAGTTATAGGTTAGCATAGGACCCCCCACGTCGTTGGGTCAGTTACGAATCTTCCCTAACTGACCCAACGACGTGGGGGGTCCTATGCTAACCTATAACTAACCCAAACTAACCCTTGCTTACCATTGCTGTATACAGGCCTGTCTCTAGCCCTGTATAGGTGTATACAACCCTATCTCTAGACCTGTATAGCTGTTTCAGATCAAAGGCGCCGTCGATTTAGAGATTTTTCCACGGTATCGAAAAATTTCTCAGGCTCAGGTGCCCCCGTTACTACTAACCTGTCTCGAAAAGCTATCTGTGCAGACAGACCTGTCTCGAAAAGCTGCCTGTGTAGACAGACCTGTCTCGAAAAGCTGTCTGTGTAGACAGACCTGTCTCGAAAAGCAGTCTATGTAGACAGATCTGTCTCGAAAAGCTGTCTCGAAAAGCAGTCTGTGTAGACAGATCTGTCTCGAAAAGCTGTATCGGACCTGTCTGTGGACCTGTATAGCTGTCTACACAATTATAATTGTCTCTGGACCTGTATAGTTAGAACGTTTTATAGTCTATACGAAGTTACTTGGACCAAGCTTAAAATAAACGTATGGTCAATATACTGCATCACATATTGAAAAATATAGTAAAATTTATACTGATTGATCCTCGTACCCGTTGGAAGCCAGACAAGTAAGAATGGATAGGTATATTATCTGATTGGCTTCATCCTCCATGTACACGTTCGATACCAGTAAACGTGGACTCAATAGATCTGATTGACCATTGCCGATCATGATTGATTGACATACTGTCTATTGATTATTAATTTTAGTACTGTTTTTTGAAATTACGCCGTCCATGTTTGACAAAGAAAAAGCTGATGGATGCCGGGATTTAGTTAGTTTTTATGCTAGTCCAAGTGACTTGGTATAGACTTTACTTACAAACATTTTTTATCAATAATTACTCAAGGATCTAGTGCCTTGTCTACAGTGCTGGATTTTGGTGTGATGGTCTGAGGACTCGATTCCCCGGCTAGAATTTTTGCAATCGATCGATGACGAGACGACGACAAAGATGACGCACGATGGCGGGACGATAACTGTGTTTTGAAGATGATAGCATGAGATAAGGAGCTGCGGTCGAATTCCGGGAAACTCCCCAAAAATTTGGGTTTGGTTCGGGTCAAACCCCGAAATTTCAGATCAAATACATCGTCGATCTAGATTTTTCCCACGGTATCGATAAACTCCCTAGGCATAAAAACGCTGTGTGGTTAGTACTTCTATACTATTTTCCATTTATTTTGCGTTCCAGATTTGATCGACATTCGAAAAGGTAGAAATGAAACAGCTCCTGGTAGCTTAGTTGGTTAGAGCGTTGCACTGGAAATTCAGGGGTCCTGGGTTTAAATTCCAGTCGAGGCAAGAAATTTTTTTATCAATTTTTAATTATTACGTCTGCCTGCCACTAAATTAAACACACGATTTTCTAAGCCAATGATTTGAATTACTAGGATTAACAGAGATTCAAACAAAGTTAAACTTAGACACGAGGAATTAAATGAATAAACAGTGACCTGTTTGTATTTTACACTTTAACATAAAACCAAAATGGTGGATGTAAATCTACGTAATATGAATGTTTTTACTAAAATGTACGTCTTATGTACGTTCTGAATAGGTCTACTGATCTAAAAAATAAATGGATAAACAATTCATACGGCTTGATTTGCATAATTTGTGCGAAAGTTTGGGATCAATATTCTACGAACAGTTGTGCAACGGAACAGCTTTACGCCTGCGCAGTGTCGTATCTTTCGAACAACTGTTCTAAGTTTCGAAATTCCTTCATTTTCATTGGCCAGATTTTGTGTACGCACAATACATGTATCTACTGCGCATGCTCATAGCTGTCCCAGTGAGTTGTTTTTGTTTAGATTTTGACCTCGTGAATTAGCAGCATTAGTAGCGTTCTT